GCTGCCAGCTCACACTTCTAAACAACAGATGTACTAACCAATCAACAAATCTGATCTACACTTGAAAGTGAAATGTGTCTTTTTCACTCACATATGTACATATATCCACAAAGGAATACACCTAAGAAGCATGATGTAACAAAAGAAATTAATATTCTGTTCAACAAATGATACAGCTAAATCCTTTCTTACTGCTTCCACCCAGCAAGCTGCAGTTTACATTCTTCACCTTATAAAATTCAGACAGCTCTTCAGCAGCAATCAAAAGGAAGGTAAGACCAGAAGCTATTTTTAGTTTCAGCCTCAAGTTAGATGTGGAAATCTGTCATTGCCTCAAGGATTTTTATGAACAGATTAGATCAGCAATTTAACTGACATTTAAAATGACAAATTATAAGATGAGAATTACTACTATTTAAAAACACACAAAGGAGCAATCATTTTCTCATCAAGAAGCCAAATATGAAGCGTAAGTTGCTATGGGACAAGTCAGCTTTATTAATTTATTCCCAGACTGCCGCAAGCATTCTCTTGAGCTTCCTAGTTCACTTCTCAAATTCCCAATCATCTCATCAGTATCCAAACAATTATCTTGGCTTAATCTTGTTCTTCTCCAAAAGACCTTTCTGTGGTTCTTCTTCCTGATGGCTTGGCCAGCAAATTGTATAATTTCTTGGTTTTTTGAAGTTCAGAGAAGAGTTATGAGGTAAATTAGGAAGAAAGAAACAGAGACATCATCAAAATAAAACTATCTCACCTTATTTCCTTCTTCTTTGACTTGAGGATTTATGAGTTTTATAAATGAATAGAACAGCTGTCGAATTCTAGAATCTCCTATAAATACAATATGTTTGTCTACGAGGCAATTTTTTGCTTCACTGTAAAACAAAACAGCAACATTCATGTTACAGGAAATTTATATTTGAGGTAAAGTCTTTAGAACATCTACAGAGCAATATAGATAATTCTAAGCATTATATCCAGCTCTAACGAATGGTAAATCTTTTTTTAAACATGCTGAATTAATAAAAAGTTTAGTGTAATTTGCACACAAATTGAAATTAACTCTCCTGCTAATGTGATTAGGCAAACAACCAAGAAGGCTTTTCTATTCTGTGGTGCTACAAACACAGTAGTTTCAAAATGGTAATATACAGCATAATTCTGAAAAAGAAAGTTCTCTTACTAGTAGGTGAAAAAAAGTGATTGGCAATTTTATTTGGGACTTTTTATTTGTGATTCTACACAAGGTCAGCATTTTCCCTTTCAGCAATCTGAGTGACATATAAAGCTATGCAGTCTCTTGCACTATCTTGTGGCTCTCCATAACAAGTATCAGTCCTACTATCACTAACATTCATTTTGTATTTATATATATATACATATGCAACTATGGTAAACACTGTAGATACACAGATAACATTCAAGGAAAAGACTTCCTTCTGATAAATGTTGCATGTCTTTGAAGGCCTAGAGAATCAGCTATAAAGTGAAAAAGAGATGACGCTGCAATTACTACAGCTGCAGTCAAACAGCAATGACTCTTCTTTCCAGGCAGATGAACAGAAGACATTAGTTTCCTTACCTGATTTTATACTTATGCATCATACAACTGTGGGGCTGCCATACTTTTTCTCCAAGAAATCTTCCACTGGACAGAAGATACTCACATGTGTCACCACCTTTAAAATGTTATATTAAGATTAGAACTCAGACCCATGAAAGTTAAAACATAGCCCCATTGCTATTAAAAAAAAATTGACAATGTTTGAAACACAGGAATTGAAACAATCGACAGCAATGAATAAATTTAACTTATTGTAAAAACATCTTACACAAGTTTCTGCAAATTGCCTTCTCACTTACTATACCACACTTCTCCGTAAATCACTCCTCTATCCACAATATGTCAGTGATCCCATTTCTACTGTCAGAAGGATGTTGTGACCTAGAACAGCATTTCTACCAAAAGAAGCCAATCCACCGTGCTAGCTATGATCCAGAATACACTAATGTGAAATTAAAGAATACAACAGTTCAATATAACAATCTTCTACACAGAATCATCATACACAGCATCTTGTCTAGAACACCAATCTCAACATGATTGAGAAAGTCTATTACATTTCCTTGATTAAGACACAGCGGTCACTTTAGAAAAGGTGAAACTACAAGCTGGGTTAATATGCAAAACAAAAAACGTCTACACAAGAATTTGTTGATCATTCTGAACTGCAACTACCTTTTCCAGTCAAGAGGTTTTACACTGATTAATCACTTTACAGGTGGTGATGTTTCAGCTCACTTTAAGTTCATATAAGTAAAATACCTCAGTTATGAAATCAGTGACATCTTCCAGCAAACTCCATGTCAGATTCTGCTGCTTTGTAAGTGATCACAACTGAACACCGTTCACTGCAAGAGAAGTCACCCTCCAACATTTTTGTCATACTTGGCATTTCAGAGCACTGACAAACAGGGAAATGGTGATGAACAAAATGGCAAGTTCCTGTACTGGCTTGTGCAGAAACAACATACAACAGCCACTACTTTAACACTTTCTGTGAAACCCTCATCTCAATAAACTCCACCAAAACTGCTTTTCTACTGCACCGAAACTTGCGCTAACCTTAAAGAACAGGGAGTTTTCTATCTAATTCTTCTTTTCAGGGCTGCTGGAAGCCACACATTATAATCAGACTTTTTGCTTCAATTATTATGAGAAAATCTGAAGCTTTATCTAGAACTGCAAATTAGATGAGATTAATAGAAAGAGATGGAAGTCGTGTGAGGTCTGAGGTCTGGAAGAATGGGCATTTACAATGCACTGCTGATGTCTATTGAGACCCAAGCTCACAGTCCTCAAAGAGCAGTACTATAGTAAAGCTTTTAAGAAAAAAGAGACAGAGCCATGATATCACTTCCCTTGTGCTTAAACAAAGGCTTCCACAAGACCACAGTTCAATCAATAAAAAAAGAAGGTTAAAAAAAAAAGTATCTCAGATAAAGACAGTCTTTCTTTGCAATATTCTGATAAGAAAATATATCCTAAGTTATGGTCCTAAGATCACAGTGAAAGCTAACTAATTCTTGTATGAACTGAATCAACTCTTTTTTTTTTTTTTTTGGTTTTGAGTTTTCTTTTTTGAGTTGGACATAGGACACTCGGGAAAATTACTTATTTCCATAATTTCACAATAGTGAGAAGACTGACATTAGTATCTACATTGAAATAATTATTCTATAAACATTTTAGACCTATAGGTGACAAAATTTGAAAAACATTAGTAACTACTTGGATGATGGAAACATATCTGTATTTCCAACAAATATGGAACTAGGATCTTTATAATCCTGCATGACCACAGATCTTTCCATATAACTCTTGCATTAGCATTGGCACTGATGTTGCTACTCTTGCTTGTGAGCTGATACTCAGCTGCTTGCTTCTTCACAACCCACCCAGAAAAACAAAAGGTAAGGTTCCCGTCTATGAAGCTGGGAAAATGTTACAAAAGCATTAAACAAAACACACATTTCAAGTAGAGCCAACACCCAAAACTCTTATCTCTCTCCTACTTCAAAACTCTAGCTCTCTCCTACTTAGAAGGCATGAAGAACATCTCAGACACACCGCAGTATCTGACAACGCAGTTGACATTGTACAAGTACAGACAATGCAGCTCAATTGCTGCTTCTTGAAAAATAATACAAAATCAGCTGGGAGGAAGGAAGAAGTGACAGCTGAAGACATCTTCTGTCCCTGCCCTCCTCCCTGAAACTCCTCCTACCTATCTTCTTGAAAATCAGAACAAGGCAATGTAGAACAGGCTGTATTATAACTGTTACTCCTTGGCTCATTTATCCAACCAAACGCAACAACAGTAACACAACCAAGTAGTATAATTTACCATAATCTAATGTTCCTCATTCCCTCATTCCAAAATGCAACTCTTAACAACCAGACTCATTTTCTCTCCTGGAATTTAAACTACTTGCAACTGCTATTGCACCATGACTACTAAAAAAGCTGGAATAACACAAAGAATTACAACAGTCTTGAAAAAGGTCTGGATAAACATCTCTGATTTTGGGTTGGTTCTCCGTGAGCAACCCACACATTACATACTCCTAACACACAAGATAAACTGGCTTTATTAAAACTGCCATTTTTTACTCCCTGCCTCTCAGTTTTGGGAGCTCTTGGTCAGGCAGATTTTGACATACGGAAGAAAAATGTGTTAAAAAAGTAAATAAAATATATACATGCAGTGACAAACTCCAATTTTTATCATCAATAAGAGTCTATTAATCACCCCAGGGTAGTTCAGGAATTCCCTCAAATTGACCAGTAACCTCTCATGCAAATCTTGGGATACCAGAAATCAAATTGACACTTCCTTCCTAATTGCAATGCACATGCACTATCCATGTCAAACTGATTAATTACTGCATGGCAGCAATGGGATGTGGCAAATGGCCAGACGCAGAGCACCACGGGCCTCTAAACTTTTAAGGGAGCTCTCATGAAAGTATGCTGAGACCATAGATGCAGGCTGAACTCAGGAGGTTTCCAGAAAGCTGGTCTCCTATTTTTCCACCAGTACAGGTCATTCCAGGTCAACAAGATCATCTTTTTTTCCCAGCCAGTGCCCATTTCAATATTCAGTACAGTACAATTTTTACAGTCTTCATTTCTGAAGAGATTAAAGATCTTCCAGAAGCCGTTTATCAATGCCTTTCTGCTCCTCTTTCACACACTGCCACTTAGAAGACAGCTGCTGATCCTGCTGCCGAAGCTTCTGTGAAAGTAGCTCAGAACACAGCAGATGACACGAAAAACTGAACCTTTACCTACTTTTTTCATTATGCTGGCCTAGCTCAGATTTGCTGGACAGACATCTTTCTACCAGAAACCATAAATTCAGAATGACCATAGTTTCAGTTTTTCTTAATAATTTCAAATAAAAACCTGTTTCAAGCAAAAAAATTTCCTTGATTCTCAAACATACACACTTAGGTAAATTATCATCGCAACTTGCATAAAAATGAAACTGTCAGAAAAAACGTTATCAAACTCATGTTTCTTGTGATCACGTTATGAGAATAGCTGACTTACCAATATTACAGCGAATGCTACAAAGCCCTCCACTTTACAGATGACAAAAATTAGGAGATATATCAGAGTGATGATGTAAGAGTGAACTATGTAAAAGAAAATCAACCACTAATTACGCTCCCTCTGAAACCCATTAAGTTGCTGAGGAAGATGCGTAAGAAAATAAGGACAATTACTCACAGTCAGACCAATGATCAGTCTAGCCTGGTGTTCTGCCTTCAATGGGGGCTGTAAACAGATGCTCAGGGATGAACAAGAAGAGGGCAATTAAACATTAAGTTCTTGTCTAATATTCTTCCAAGTACGTTAAGTCCAGGGACTTCCTGAGTTGGACATGGTTCTGCATATTTTGTAGAACCTTACACACATTTCTGTCCAACAAAGTCATGCAGTCTTGTCTTCAGTTTTTTAGCATCCACAGCATCCTTCTAGCAGAGTTTTCCATACCCACAGCTGCTGCTTGAAGAATCACCTGCCTTTATTTTAAATACGGTTTCTACTAGATTTACTTGGCACTCCCTAGTTCTTGCATAGGAAGAGACGGTTCACACTGACGTCTATCATTATTTGTAGACCACTATAAATCCCTCCTCAATTAAGTTTTCAAGACTGAAGAATCTTAGTTTACTGGTTCTTCATAGGAGAGCATGTTCCATATCTTGAGTTCACAACCCAAGCTCGGTAGCTCTGCACTCCATGGTACTCCCATCATAATTACCCACAAATAAAACAATCCTCCACCCTACAGTATGTTTACTGAAACAACATTCCAAACATAACACACTGTATACATTTCAAACATAGAGATAATACTTTAGGCCAAGGAGTTATGCCTTCTTTTCCAACTCCAGATACCAAATATCTTACTATTTCCCCAAGCAATATTAGAAAGCTCCTGAAACTCATTAGGAGCATTACTGAGATCTGTTTCTTTAAACATAATAGTAGAAGTTTCAGGGGGAAGATGAGGGAGGAGAATAAAATAAGACTGAAACAGCAGCCATGAGAGTAAACTGGAGGTTACAGATAAGACAGTGCCTCTGGAAAGGCGCAAGTCTTACTTGGAAGATGAAATACACAGCAGACAAAGAACCACTCTCGTGCCACACCTTCTTCTTAACTATTAATGAGAACTTGAGAGAACAAAACAACAAAGCCTGAGAAAAAGAAATCTAAGTGCCACTCTATACACAAAATACGGACCATTCTCTTTTAAGCTTTGTGCTTTGAGTAAATTATACTTCCAATATACTACCTTTTATTTTCAAGAAATGTTGCACTTAGATACACTAGGGTATAGTTATACAAAGAGTATAATTTCTCTGAATTTTATTACACTCATTATTCTAATTTATCATTCCTCGAAATAATGTTTTTGCCATTGAAATCACAAAATCTCAAAGTCATCATTCAGTGCCACAACAAACTTTCACAACACTTTCTTTAAAAGGCACACCCTCTGTTTTGAGGAAATGAAAATTAAATTGTTCTCTATTACTCAAAACAAAAATGCAGTTTTAAACAGGTTCTATCAGTGCTGATTTTAACAATGCAAGATTTTAAA